ATATATATATATATATCAGCCAGGCACAGCGGCTCACTCCTGTAATCCAGCACTCTGAGGGGCCAAGGCTGGTGTATCACGTTAGCCCAGGAATTTGAGGCCAGCCTGGCCAACAGTGGTGAAACTCAATTCCACAACAACAAAAAAAAGTAGCCAGGCATGGTGACGCACACCCATAGTCCCAGCTACTCGGGAGGCTGAGGTAGAAGGATTGCTTGAGTCTGGGAGGCGGACAGTACGGTGAACTCAGATCATGTCACTGCACTCCAGCCTAAGTGACAGAGAGAAACCCTGTCTCAAAATAAAAATATGTACATACAGAAATATTCTTTTAACATTTGCAGAAGAACATTAAAAAAACATAATAGTTACTCTTGAGTAAGAGCAGGGGTTAGGGGAAGAGGTAAAGATTTGCCTCATCACTAAACTTGAATTTTTTTTTAAATAAGGTACAAGTACTACTTTCATAATTTTTTAAAGTTGGTTTTAAAAAGCTACTTTTGATCTGGCATATGTACAAATAGACAAAGCAATTCTAGAACTAAGCTGACCTCTGGAAAATCATTTGCTTTTTATAATACTGAAACACATTCAAATTTCCCCTTTGTTTCACATTCTTCCCCATATAGACCATTCTCATCCTACGCTTTTCCTTTCCCCTAAAAATTCCCTCTCTTCTTCACCAAGTCATAACCTAAACATTCTTACGGGAACTATCTTCTGTTGTGCATATGCCTTAATTTGAGGGAAGGGGGGCATAGAATCGGCATCTTGTTAATTGCTGCTCTCTCTATTCATTTCATGGAGATGGCCTCTCTGACTGTAGGCAACGCTGTTTCTTATTGTTTGTGTTCTCCAACTAACCTGACACAGTGAGGCGATGCCTACCTATCGATTCAAAGCAGTAATTTCTGGGTTTTTCAAAAGCATAGTGATGTATTTCTATGCCAACAATTGACTTACAATGCATATACTAATATCATCTTGAATTGCCTTGTATTGGAATTTTCCTATTCACAACTAATACTCTCATCAATAAATGTGCACAGCATATTAAAATCATCCAATATCAGTCCTGGTGTTGTAGTGCTGGTGTTGTATGTTATGATTTCTATTAGACCGTAGATCTCCACCCGCCTCCATTAGGGTTCTCAAATTTGGAAAGTCATTGATTTGGCAAGACTTGGAACTTTCCATATAGCACTTAAGCAATAAAA